GAAGAGGTGGGCTATGGAGCAGAGTACATATTTCCCAAATGTTCACAAAGCCACAACTATTGCCTGAGTTCAGCAGCGTGGATATATGTAATCTTTTGCAATGACTTCTGCTGGTATGAGGGCAAATTTGACCACTGGAAATAATTCAGATAGTTTTTCTATGACACTGTTCACACAATAGGCCAAAATCTAAATATCAAAGGGAGTGAAAAAAAAAGAATAGTCTCTGACTCGCAGAATAAAACTCCTGTAGCTGAGAGAAAAGAATAACTGTGGTGTCACTTGTCCAGCAGTACCTCAGTGTTCCTCTTCAGCTTTGGGAGTGGTCTTTTTCTTTTTAAGATCAGAATAATTGTGAAGCCAGATAAATGTAGTGCTTTAACCCTTGCAGTCATGGATGAAGCTGGAGAAGGTTGGAGAATACTGTATTCTGACTATAAGTCTACCTTTTTTTTCCCTCTCCAAAACAGCCGTAAAAATTGCACTTGCCATATACTTGTGATTCACCTGTAATCGGTTTCCTCCCCCAGTCTTGACTTTGGCACTTGTGGCATTTTTGTGCATGCAATAAAAATAGCAAGTCAGACACTTTTATTTTAGCATTGCAGTACGTTGCAGTTTTTATTTGATATTTTTAGTGTGTTTAACACTTTATGTCCTTTCCTTTGTTTGATTCTCCTGTGGGATTTTGTAAGGCCAGTAGCAGCTGGAGGGACTTTATCCATAGTTATTAACTTATATTCAGGGGGAAAATGCTGTTCTTCCTAACACTGAACCTGAAAATGCAAGGTCAACTTATAATTGAAGCAATATGGTAGATCAGCTTGTTCCTTATAAACTCATCTGATGGTACAAAGGGATTAATTTTATAGAAGGATAACAATCAAAAACTGAAAAATACTATACAAGAACTTGGGATGTAAACAAGGGAATAAAACTCGGGTCTTCAGGGTCTGTTTTCAGCTCAGCTACTGGCTCACTGTGTGAACTTGGTCATGTTACTTAAACTTCATGCATCCCTTCTTGTGAAAAGGGATAATAATTCTCACTTAGCTCACAGGGGCATTGTGAGGTTTCACTGATGTTTGTACAGTACTTTGAGATAACTAGATGAAAAGTACTGTGTAAGTTTAAAAAAAATAAATCCAGTAAAACAGACTGTTAGGGAGGACTTCTCTCAAAACATCAACTAATTGATTTTTAATAAGTGTTTTCAGGTTGGATTTTCTCAGAATCTTTAGAAATAAAGTGTTTGTCTTCCATGCCATTGCTTTTCATCATCTGTCTGAAGTGAGTCCAAAATCTATATTTTACTTTGATTTTTGTGCCTGATTCAAATTCTGCAGAATCTTTACACTGTGGAGAAAAATGTATGAAACCAAAACCAAAGGCTGAAAAGAATTTCATTTTATTAATGGAAAGATTTTGCCTTTCTCACCCTATACATTTTAATGTAATGTATATTTCATGGGAAGAAAAAATTGGTAATTTATTTTTAAGAAGTGATGGATTAAAAGGTTGGTCTGAATAAACTGTTCTGTGTAGTGCCTTATTAATACAGAAATCTAGGGAAAAGAAGCCTGGGTTGCATGGGATGAGGTCAAAAGTCATTAAACATGTACAAAGGGAGCTAATAGCATCTGACATTCTGACCTTTAGCAGAAAAAGTGTAACTCAGATCCTGTGTTTATTGAAATTAGTGCTAAGCTCCTCTTTATTTTGATAAGAACAAGATCAGTCTGAAAACGGGGTTATTGTGTGTTGGATAGTTGTTCCATGTTGCCCCTTGGGGGATCCTTTGTGCCTTGGCAGCTTTGTGGTACAGTGAAGCTGACAAAGCTAACTCAAGTCTCTGCTAGACCCACTTAAAAGGAAGGAGTTTATCATTGCAGAGTTTCCTCTGAACACTTTTGTCAAGGTGGGAAGTGAAGTAAGTACACTTTGCAGATTCCCAGCTCTGTGCATATGCTGAGGTGGTTTTGAATGGTACATGTGAAAGCAATATATTATCTGCATCTACTCATAAGGTTTAGGAATTCTTTGGTGGATCCATACAAATGTGTACTGCTTCAATGAAGAATTGGGCTTAGACCCTAATCGGAGACTAGATTGGGGCGGGCGAAGTCTGGCCTGTGGGCTGAATCCGGCCGGCAGTGGACCCCAGAGCCAGGCTCCAGAGCCAGGCTGGGATCTTGCGGCAGTGACAGCGTGGTCCAGAGCCAGGGCAGAGCTGCATTCTGCAGCCTGCATGTTTTGGGTAGAGGCGTGCAGACAGTGGATCATGGCTGTGCCCTAGCTCCAGAACATGCTGTCACCACTGCAAGAAGTCGGGGCAGAGCCATGGTACTGTGCCTGCATGTCCCTGCCCGGGATATGGAGGCTGCAGATTACAGCTGTGCCCTGGCTCTGGACCACACTGTCACTGCTCTAAGACCCCATCCTGGCTCCGGAGCCGCTCCACGCCCTGCTGCCCATCCTGCCAGCGCTGCTGGGGCCGGTCTTCATGGAAACCCTGGCCTTATGCTATCAGGCATCTCTATGGAAACTGGCCCCAGCCACATAGGGAGGGGCTGCTGGGAGATGGAGTCTGGTCACTGGCCGGATCTGCCATTTTGCCCACCCCTGGACTAGATGCATCAGTAGGTTAATTGACTACAGTGATACTCAGACCGATGGCTTCTGGGCCTTTTGCTTACCACCTTTTGCTTTCCAACACCTGCTGTCCGAAGGAAGTTGTTAATGCTGCACTTGGCCATCTATTTTCTGTTGTTTAAAACAAGCATATACATAACTTAGTAAACACGATAGAGGCTTACCACTTTTCAAACAGATTTAATCAATGCATTGCTTCCTCTTTTGAATTGGAACATGTGTGGCACAATGCACATGGTGTTTGTTCCTTTCTGGTTAATCCTTGTTGCTCGTGTGGCCCTTAGCCTGTCAGAACTGAGTGCAACTAGTATGTAGCCTTTAAAACAAATAATCTTCCAGTCCTCTGGAAGGATTGCCTGGTGATCTCCAGGACTGCTGTCCCTGTTCTGCCTCCTTTCTCACTCAGAATTCAAAGCATGATGTATGTTATCAAGGATTTTCCCCCCAGCTCTTCATGAAGCAAAAGCTGCTTAACTCTAATTCTTACTCTTTATGCCATGTAGGTCCCAACTCCTACAATGTCGTGGATTAGTCTGGGTGAGTGAGCAAACCAATCTCCTATCATAGTTCCTCCTTACAGTGTTAGTTCTGTGATTAAAACTTGAACCCTGGCTTTCAGCTCAACTAAAAATGTTCATGTGGATGTTAAACTACCCTAGATATGTTACCTGAGTTGCGGCTGTGTTCTGAAAAAGAGCAATGTTAAATTACAAACAACTTGGCTTTGGGAATTCAGTCCAAAACACTGCAAGCCTAAGCATTGACCAAGTGTTTTGTAAATGATCTAAATGATTTTTGCTCTGCTGCATTTGGTTTTCTAGACCAGTGATTTTCAACTAGGGTGCCAGAAACGCTATATGTGATTCACAAAATAAACCTGGAGATCTCAAATAGGAATCTATAGTGTTAAAAACATTCTGACCCCTTGTGGTCTTTGAGTTCTTTGCAACAGAAGAATTTATTATTTTTTCCATTTTCTGAGGGTGCTTTGAGTCTGAAAATGTTTCAAACCACTTCCCTAGACTAACGAGCTCACTGGAATCCTGTTGTGATATGGTAATCCACTTGTGGTTTTATATATTTGTAAAATATGCCTTTTTAAAGCCTATGAAATAAATTTTTCCTGGTCTACAAAATGGCTTTCTAAATCTGACACATTCTGTTGTCCCTAATTTCTTTTCAGATCATTCATTTCAAATGTGTTTTTTTTCCCCATTGTTTTGCAAGATGTATTGATAGTGATATTACGCCCGTGGGAACGATAATATAAAATGTTCCCACCAGTGGGAATGATGATTTGTCATTGCACAGCAACTTACGTCTATTTTGTACAGGTGTAAGTGACTAGTATGTGAAATATGCAAAGACGGGAGAACGGGTCATTAATGCACAATACTGGAAAATCTGTTGAAACTAGTTATTGCCCTTGCTGGTCTCTAATTAGAAAGCTATACAATGAGAATGATCTTAAAAGTGATGAAGTAAAAACAGGATTTGGGATCCAAGCAATATATTAATAAGCTGTAGTCACTGTCTGGGCTCAGTCTGGAGCTGAAAGCAGAGGGAGACAGAAACTATTGAGAGATTATCCAGAAACAGAAAGATGAAGCTGATGTTTGTGTATGTGTAAGAGAAATAAGGAGGCTGAAACAGAGCTGGAGAAACTGGACCCTACACAAGCTGAGCAAATGTTCTTGTTCATGAATAACTTAAACTGAGCACTAATTTCAGCTCCTGTTTATCAGCACATGCTCTTCTGCGTAAGACAGAACTGATACTTACGAGAGAGAGGTGGTGCAGAATGGAGATAAAGGCTGAAACTAGTATTTCAGAGAAAACTAAGCAAAAGGGAAAAAAAAGAGGAAAGGGAGAGAAGGAAAGT